CTCTTTAGATGGAGCAAGTGCAGAATCCAGGTCTCCCACTTCTGGCTGAGTGCTCCAGCTTTGCACTGCAGAGCTCTACTCCACCCTTCGGAAAAGCAGGACCCTTGCTCATGTCCTACAAGGGATATTTGTAGATCCCTACCTAGGTAGATGGGTCCCAAGCAGATAGGCATCTCTCTTGTAGCTGTCTTTCAAGTGTCTAAAGCCACCCCCCCACCTTGTCTTCATGTTTCTGGTAGCTGACCACCTCTACCTGTCTCCAGCCACTCTCAAACTGACTCTTGGCTGTTTCCACCCGCCTTCATTCTTGGAAATTCAGATTTTCAACCTTCTTTGCAAACCAGATGGGAAGGGGACCTGAAAAGGAGGAGAAATCTCAAGGGCAGTGCAGATGTGGTTTGAAGGGACCCTGGGCAGAAGGCAGCATGCACAAGGTGGAGCTAGGAACCTGCACTCTAGCAGTTATCATGGCATGAAACTACTTTGGGAATAACGCTGAAAGGTCTGTAGAAAAATCGTAGCAGTGACTGATTAATTTCTGTGAGGTGGTACCTGAGAAAGAGTTAAAAGTAACTGCAGGACTTCCATGGGACTAGGAAGTTGTAATTTTGATTAAGAGCTGAATGTCACTTAATGGGCTATCAGGGACACGTTTCTGCTGAAGTACCTCATTGTATCAATGGCAGAGGTTTCCCTTGACACAGCAAAACAGCCATTATTCCAAGCTGCAGGTTCTCCTGTCTTGCCAAGCCACCCACAGGCATTGCTACAGGACCACGACTGATTTTGATGGAGCACTCTGGCGTGGCAGCAAGGGCACCCCCAGCACTGTGTTACTGCAGGGAAGCAGAGGACAGCAATGCTGTTGCCCAGCATTTTAGATGACATCTTGTTCCTAAGACAGGCTCCGTAGTGAAAGGCTAACACCTACTCCATGTCTTAGGACAAGGCTGAAGATCAGCGCCAAGAAGGTGCCAGAAGAGAGGTGGTGATGAGTACCCCAGCACCTCTGCTAGAAAAGCAAATGGAGCAGTGGTGTCAGTGTGAAGTTATGTGCTTCAGGCTCCTTCTACTTGTTTTATCTTATGTCTCACTCCTATTTAAGAGATGCCAAACCCATCCCCACTGAAATGCCACCTAACACTCAAATGATTGGGACAATATTTACTAGCTCAGGGACTGCTGAAATAGAGTACACAATTTCTTCCAGAAGTTCAGCACAAGGACTGTACACAACTGTAGAAGAAAATCTGTTACGGGAATATTTAACTGCCAATAGGCTCATTTTTAAGACAAGCAAAGCAACTACTGCTTTAAAAACAAAACCAAAAAACCCCAACCCAACAAAACTGGGTTAGGTCCCAGTTGTCCTTGTTAATTTGGCCAGAAAATAACTTCAATTTTGATGACAAAGAAAATTCTGAGTCAATTCCTCAACATATTGAAGTTAATGGCAAACTCTTTTCATCTTGGTCATTTTGGATGTGCAGCTAATTCCTGACATGCAACTTGCACAACGTACTACTGATTAGCCTGCAGGGCACATTCGACAATAGAGATTAATTTCTTTTGCATGCTTATGTATTTACGTTCCTTCTCTCCCTATGAAAAATAAAGATCCAAGAGAAGTATGTCGGCCTTCAAGAGCAAGAAGCAAATTTCACTGTCACGTTAAGACAACTTTCGTTTAGCTGACTACATCTCTGGGTTTTGGTTTGAGTCACTGATTGAAATCCAGTGCAACAAATTCTTACAGCACTAATTGTTAGCGCAGGCATAAAACGTTAAGTAAGAAGGATTAAAGGCTGCTCAGGCATACCAGAGCTGTTTCCAACAAGACAAATTACAGCTATTATTTTATATCAGTGAACTGTAATAATCTTGGATTCCCTGCACTGGAAGGAAAATTTGTGCTAATGAACTCTTATCTACCTTACCTTATAGCCAGGGTATAAGGGTACTAGAGAAGGGGACATTCCTCACGATATCAGTGAACTGTAATAATCTTGGATTCCCTGCACTGGAAGGAAAATTTGTGCTAATGAACTCTTATCATCTACCTTACCTTATAGCCAAGGTATAAGGGTACTAGAGAAGGGGACGTTCCTCACGTCAGCTTTGCTCTTATGAATTTATTTAACAAAATAATAAAAATCAATTTTTCAATCAGATTATGTTTATTACAATTAATGCTTAAGAAGAGTGGTTTACCATGGATGTTTAAAAATAATGTGATTCTAGAAATAACATTTCCCACAGGAGTTAACACTTGGACTTCAAAAGCAGGGAATAAAGTGTGAATGCACGACTTGCCCTTTGCACAGCTGATCTTTGCAGAGCAGAGAAAGTTTTAACTAAAGTAGTTGCTATCTTTAGTTTCTTGGTCATTTTTTAAAAAATCGTTTCACCTCTGGCTTTCTGTGCTAGCATGAAGCTGACTCCTCTGCAACCTCTTAGACTTCTTCAGTGCTTAAGTCCCACCTGGGTGGGAGCAGCTTGGAGTTTTCATTTGGAACTAGCAGAAGGTGACACTGGATGAAAGCAAGGGTAATCCTCTCAGCATGCAATTCGGAAGCAATTCTAAGCAGGTCTCAAAAGATGAAATCAGCTGAAGAAATAGATCATCTAGAGGTTGGTCCTGTGCTATTCAGTGTTTAAAAGTCTACCTCTCCCACTTGAGCTGTGAATCAGGTGCGCAGTGCTCAGCATAGGTCCAGCACAGCGCTGTCACTGGGCTGTGCGCACGCAGGCTGCGGAGGCAGCCATGCCTGCTGTGGGAGATGCTTATCCAGCAAAGGTTCTGCTCTTCTGGGAGAAGGGTTACATGGTCGCCTCAGGAGGGGAAAAATGGCAGAAAACTTTTTTGTTTCTGACAGCCATCTGCTCATACATTGCCATCAGCCCCATTCATCAGTGGGCAGCATGAGGGATGAGGTTACTGGTCCCTGCTTCCTCCAGCGCAGTCCAGCTCGGTTCTGCACCACATTGCCTCTACGCAAGTGCCACAGCTACCTAAGGGGGTGGGGGAAGCAGCCCCTGAGGTGGCTAGTAGCCTCTTAACGTGTTCCCAAAGAAAGCACACCACTTACTGATCGTTATCATAGAATCTGTTGAGTTGAAAGGGACCCATAAGGGACATCAAGTTCAACTCCTCGCAGGACCACCTAAAACTGAACTATATGATTAAGAGCATCGTCCAGATGCTCCTTGAACTCCAACAGGCTTGGCGCCATGACCACTTCCCTGGCAAGCCTGTTACGGATAGTAAGGCGAAAGTGCTTTAAAAATTACTGTAGGAAGGAAAAAAACCAAACATGCACAGAGACTGATGAGATACTGTGCCCATGCGTTTAATTTTGTGTGTTCTAGATTGTGGAAGACAGAGGCAGAGCAGATCAGCAGGGGTTGTTT